TCGTGCAGACTTTCTGTCATTGCAGTGGAAAGCTGACCATTGCAAGCAGGAGGAGAATTTACTGGCTACAAAATACAAACAAAGCTTCACAAGTAATGTTTAAATGTACAAAGGAAACCACCAAGCCAGCTACCCAACCACAGCTTGTAGGAGCCTTGAAGAGGTTGGGACCATCTGGGCATACTCAGTGTACTGCCAAGAAGCTACCATTGAAAGACCCAACTTCTGCCGTCTCACCTGAAGCACCTCCCAGGAAGTGGGAGAAGTCTCACCTCTACCAAGAAGGTGGAGAAAGTTGGCAGGCGCAGAGCGAACTGCATGTTGGGACAGGAACAATTGACAACTCCTGTCAATTTGTCTGAAGAACAATGGAGAAGCACTTTTAACACTTTCTTCGTTAAGCCCCTAACAGTCTAAACTCTTCAAGAGCCCATTTTCCCTGTTGTGCTCTGGTGTTCCCAGTACTGGTTAGAAAGGACTAACTCTCAGTAAAAGGGACTAATAATGCCTAAGTAAATGGAAGCCAGCTGATACTGCAGTGAGTCCATCCTCTCTCGAAATTCCTCAAATAAGACACCTCTTCAGCTACCTTAGAAGTGAGCCAATGAATGTAGCGTGTATTAACGGCTAATTCACTCGGGTATGGTCAGCAACAGAAAAACCAATTATTCTGGATCTGGATCAAGTCAAATGCAGGCGTCCTTTCCTGGATACTCACGGAGTATTCACGGCAAAGGAAAGGGGGAGGGAGGGCAGGCTCACTTATTTTTAAATTGTTACTTATTATGGGATGTCTGCACATGCCATGACACACATGTGAGGGTCAGAGAACAATTCTGTTCTTTTTCCACCTTTTCTGGGGACTCCAGGGATAAAATTCAGGTCATGCATTCATGGCAAGGGCATTTACCTGCCAAGCGATGTTTCCAGACAAAAGCTGTGTTTGAGAACAAACTTGCTGCTCAGTTGCTTTTGTTTATTTTTCAGTCCTGATTTACTTTCAGGAAATTTCTGGAGGATGCTGATATGTGCAGCTCAGTTCATCTTTCCCAATCAGATCCTTGCTGCTAGGCTTCCAGGATAACTCCTAGAGCTGTCCTTCACAGCCACTGAGACCTTCACATGGGTGGCCACATCTAAGCTGCAAAGGTTCTTCTCGCCAGCAAGCACCCTGCAACTCCCTCACCTGGCAACAAGTGCCAGTGGCTCATTTCCTGTGCTGTCCTTCCACTAAAGGCAGATGCTGTGAGAGCTACTCCATTCTTACTCTTCTCCATAGGCACAGGCCATTTTCACTTGCGGTTCTTTCAAAACTGAGCCAGAGCCCACAATCTCCCTGATTCTCTGCTGGAACTGAGTTCCATTCAGTTGAGAGGCCATGGTATAGCCTGCAACTCCTTCCTTGAGGGTCCACCCTTCCCCTGGCTCCTCCTTCAGTTTCTGGATGCTTTCATCTGTCTTCCCTCTAGCCCTTTTAATGAGACAGGGTTTCCATGTAGCCCTGGCTGTCCCGGAACTCCTTCTATTAACCAGGCTGGCCTCAAACTCACAGAGCTCCACCTGCCACTGCCTCCCCGGTGCTGGGATTAAAGGTGTGCTCCACCACTTCCTAGCTCTAGTTCTGCCTCTTCAACACCAAGGCAAGAGTTGCTGATGGGATCTGTGAATGCGAATGAGTTGCCAAGTCCACTCAGCCTTCAAGCTCAGTGGAAGCTAATTCTAGCATGTGAATGAGGAAGATCAGATGGTCAACAGGCTGCTCCAGATTCCCTAAAACCACACTTGCCCTACTCCACACTGACATTCACCGTGATCTGGCTAAGAATGCCTGCTTAATAAACATGTTTTAAACCAACCAAGACAAGGACCAGGCTAGGAGCATAGGAGCTAAGCACAGTATATGAAGAGCACGGGGGTGTCAAGAGCTAGGAGACCGGGACAGGAGAGGACAGGGCCAGGAGAGGGGTACAAGCCGGGGTGGGGAAGTGCTCAGATGGTGTGATGGCTAACTAACTAACCTTGGTTGTCAACTGCATAGAGAATCAACGAAAACACAAGTTTCTGGGCACTCCTGATTTTCTTTCCTTGTCTTCATTTTTCTCTGTGTGGCTTTGGCTGTCCTTAAACTCACAGAGATCCACCTGCCTCTGCCTCCCCAGTGCTGGGATCAAAGGCATGAGCCATCACGCCCAGGCTTAAGTGATTTTCCTGATTAGATAATTTTATTATTTTTTAAAAAGATTTATTTATTTATTATACAATGTTGTCTGCATGTACACCTGTAGGCCAGGAGAGGGCACTAGATCTCAGTATAGATGGCTGTGAGCCACCATGTGGTTGCTGGGAATTGAACTCAGGACCTTTGGAAGGGCAGACAGTGCTCTTAACCTCTGATCAGATCATTCTGAGTGGGAAGGCCCACTCTAAATGTGGGTGGCACCTGCTGGGGGGAGCCCAGACAAAGGAAGAAACATGCTTTTCACCTTCATTCTATGCTGTTGCTGCTGCATTCCTTTGCTTTAGAAGCAGCTTCTTTGGCCTTCCATGGGAACTGGAGAGCAACAGCATTCCAAGAGTTCTCTAGGCCTCAGCTCCAGGTTAGGATTGCTGGGACACCCGGACTCATGGACTGAGCAACAACCCGATTCACAGCCTCCAGTGTGAGACTGTTGGACCACCCTGACCGTATGTGTGAGCCAATCTAACAAATCCTCTTAACATGCACACTCATCCTGCCTGTTCTGTTCCTTTCGAGAACCTGACTGATGCAGGCTGAAGGAGAGAGGAGTAAAAGAGACCCCAGGTCTTTACGTCTAAAGTCACTGGGGCCTCCTGCTCCTTCCAACGTTAGCAGTCAGTCAACAACAATGAAGCAATGAAGTAATGAGCAACACAAATATTTGCATACTCAGGATATTTGCCTACCTTCCTTATCAACTTTTTAATTTTGAGGAGCCGGGGGTCAAACTCAGGATTTTACACATGTGAGGCAAGGCCTCTAACCCTGAGCTACACTCCCAATCCAAGATCTCAAGAATGTGAAAAACATTGACTGTTTTAAACCAGGGGATTCCCATGAAACGTGCACCATTTATGCACATAGGACTGGGTGGTGGGGGGTGGGAGGGTTGGAAGGTGGCAGAGGACAGCACCTCCAGAGCCAGGAGCATCAGGAAGCACAGGCGTGCTCCTCACTGAGGGAGCTCCGGCAAGCCGAACGTGACCAATACTTACACGCGGCTAGAGGGACACGCAGGCCATCATTGCTGTTGTTCTCATGGGCAAAGCCTTCCTCACTTTATAAAGCAAAGTCATCTTCAAGACTTGTTTCCATAGAGAAACCTCAGTTTATTTTAAATGATAAAGCCAAAAGCATGAGACTCCTCAAAATCCTTCTTGGGTAAGGCAAGGCAGCCTGCCCACTGTGGATGCAAGCCTGTGTAAAGTGCCAGAGGCCATGGCTGTATTCACCTAGGCTTCAGAGAGCTTGCCAAGTGGTTGCAAACTGTGCGGGGCCTGGTCCAAAATGTCCACAGCTGAGAAGTAGGGATTAGTAATGAGGGAATGCAGGGCCATGCATGATTTCTACAAACAAGATGGCAGGGCGCAGAAAGGAGCCTTGGGCTGTCTGGCGACCATCTTTTAGTAAAATGGCCCCCGTGACAGTAGCATTTGCTGGACAGCATGGGGGAGAGGTGAGCAGAGAAAAGGAGCCTGCAGCCAACTGCAGAGATTCTCTCTCTACCCAGGAATAAGAATCTTGTGGTTCTGCTCCCTAGACTCGGAAGTCACAGGCTGCTGATGCCAGGAGCAGGAAACAGAGAACTGTGGGTGTAGGCACGACTGGCCCTTCTGGCCTGCTATACAGAGGATGACAGGCTGGACTGAGCTGGGCAGCACCATAGTCATGTAGGTTTGCTGAAAAGCTCATCCTTGAGCTCTGCCCTGAACCAGACTCTGAAGGTGTGGAGTAGACCCAGGAACTTGCATTTCTGAAGATCTTGAGTCCAGGACTCTCTGGAGAAGGCAGTCTAAGGACCACATTCTAGGGGGATTAAGTGGGCAATGTACTGGCAGGGTTCTACGGAAGCGATGGAGTAGTCCTGAGACCTGATGTCCGCCCATTCCTGTGTGCTCATGGGACAGCAAGAAGATACGAACTGTCTGTGTGCTCCCCACTACATGGAGCTACTCATTTTTCTGAGCTAGCCTGACACAGCCCCATAAAACACAACTGAAGCTATACTTTAAGAGGACCTCTAGTTACCCAGGGCACCTTACATTTAAATGCTGCCCCGAATACATGCAGAAAAGCCTCTGAACAGATAAAAACACATCCAGGTAGCCAGGCACACTAGCCCCGTGCCCTATTCCAGGCACTCAGGAGAGAGGAGGAACACAAGTTTAAGGCCAATCAGAGGATTTAACGAGACTCTTGTAAAGGTATGGAGGTGTTGCTCAGTGTTAGAGCACTTGCATAGCTCCTCAGTACCACAGAAGAACAAAAAACATGTCAAGGGGACTGGGGCCCAGTCTTAATATGCTACTGACTCATGAGGTTTGGGCGTCCTGGTATTAACTCTAGGCAAATGGTTTTAAATGATACACTTGGGGCTAGCAATACGTCTCACCAAATTAAAAAGCTTGCCACACATGTTGGCACACACCTGTAATCTCAGCACTCAGGGAGGTAGAGGCAGGCAGATCTCTGTGAGTTCGAGGCCAGCCTGGTCTACAAAGCTCCAGGACAGCCAAGGCTACACAGAGAAAACCTCTCTTGAAAACAAACAAACAAAAAGCTTGCCACACAAGTCTGTGAAGCTGACTTCAACTCCTGGATCTCAGAGTAGGAGAAATCTAACTCCTAAAAGTTGTCCTCTGACTTCCATCCGTGCCTCATAACACATGAGTGCCCACACCTGTACACATACACAAATCACACACACACATTTTTTTTTTTAAGGAAAATAAAAAAAAAAAAAGGTAAATATATACATATATATTTGTCTTTGCTTTCTTTTTCATTTTGACAGAACATCACTATGTAGACTAGGCTGGCCTTAAACTCACTCTGTAGACCAGGCTGGTCTTGAACTTAGAGATCCATGTATTTCTGCTTCCTAAGTGTGAATGATGGGATTGAGGATGTGTGCTATCACACCTGGCCCAAGTACACGTTCTTTAATGCACCTACTAATTGTTCTTGTTGGTTCTCTAGAGGCAAGTATGGAAGATTTGGGGACATTGTGGCAGAGGATTATTGACTATTGACAGTCAAGATAAAGTGTGCATACAGGACCAAAGGACAACCATGTCGAAAGGGGAATTAAAAGGGAAAAAGAAAACTACTTTACAACCCAAAGAAAGGCTGATGATCTCCTGTGCGAGAGCATCATGCAGGGTGCAGGAAGCCTGGCTTATGAGGTAGCCTGGAGGCCCCACCTCTGGGCCTGCCACTCTTGCTCTGGGATGGAATAGAGTTGTACTGACCAGCACTGGAAATAATGGGGTAGTTAAGAGGGGTTGACTCTGATTCTTGCCATATGCAACATGTCCTTTTATAGTCTAAGGATAAAAAGTGATAGCTATGTGATTGTGGATATTACCTGTGTGACTTCCACGGCAAAACTAAAGAAAGATGGAAAGCAGCAGCCCCTTAAGGGACGAAGTAGCCATACTTCCTTTCAGAGATCCCTCTTTTAAGAGGCTAGATCTAAAGCCATCAGGCAGTTTCAGACACTCGACAGTAAAGAAATCCTGAACACCTCTTCTGGGATGAGCTGCTCTGAGGGATACAGCATGCCTTTTGGGGAATGTGATCTGTATCTCCTGGGATACGGGTATAGCTCAGTGTTAGAGTGCTTGCTTAACATTCATGAAACCCTGAGTTCAATCCCTAGGACTGCAAACATTAGTCCAGAAATATTTCTCAGTGAGTAGCATTTTTCTTCTCTAATAACTAAATAACTAAAACCACAGCACTGACAACAGGGAAAGTCATGATTTTTCTTCCTTTTCTTTTTGGGTTGTTTTTTAAGACAGGGTTTCTCTATGTAGCCCTGGCTGTCCTGAAACTCACTCTGTAGACCAGGCCAGCCTAGAACTTGGAGATCTGCCTGCCTTAGACTCCCAAGTGTCTAAAGGCATCAAAGGCATAAGCCCCCACAACCTGGCTGAAAGCCACAATTCTTCGGCCATACTTTGTTCTTGTTTGGTATGTAACCTCAGGGGCTCCTTACTTCTTTCATAGAAGAGAATAACTATTCTTGTGGCAGGGGAATGTCAACATTGCTTTTCCTTGGCCAAATGATGTTAACTATTAATATCTAAGACAGAGTTTGTTAAAAAATATAACTTCAAAGGTCAATCACACTAAAAGGGAATCCATTCATTAACAGAAAGGACTTTCGGTCTTCCCTCGCCTCGTGGCTGGAGGCCTTGGACTGGATGACGCCTCTTCTCTGACCTCGCCACTCCACAGCAGGGCTTTGCACAGCAACACATGTCCAAGAACCACGCCATGCTGGTCCAGTACAAAATGTCAAAGTATCATCAAAGTCATCTCATTTTGTCACTGAGTCTGGATCCACCCAACTGCGTCCTGAGAAAGTGGATCAGCTTGGTCTCTGTGAGGAACACTGTCCCAAGGGTCACTCCTAAGCAGATGGTCCCCACAGCAATGTGTGCCAGCCTAGCCAGCCATCCCTTCTCACAGCACAGCAATGCCTGTGGAAAGAAACCAGTGTCACTGCCAGACACACCAGGGAAAGAAATCCTCTTCTGGCTTTCTCTTAAGATTTATGTGCATGTGCATGTGCATATGCACACTGTACGTGTGTTCTATGCTTTGAGAAGGCATTGGACTCCCTAGAACTCAAGTTACAGGTGGTTGGGAGTACTATGTGGGTGCTAGGAACTGAACCTGGGGCCTCAGGATAGGCAGTAAGGGCTCTTATTCACTGCGCCATCTCTGCAGTCCCATCATCCGGCTTCTAAGTCAGAAGAAAGGCAGGGTGATGAGGCCAGGGGTTACTAGTACTACCCGACAGGCTTACACACAGCCATAACCCAGGGTTTTGGAACACTGAATACTACTTAGTCAACATGAAAATGCGACTTTCTCCTGCCTCCTAAATGAACACATACACTCTCTTATAGGTACTATCCTATACTAGCCTATAGGTCTGGAGAAGATGAGAGGTAAACATTGACCAGTCTGTTCAGGCCGGGTGGGTGCGGGACGTCTGGGGGAAGAACAGTGGACAGCCTGCAGAAGCAAGAGGTGTGAAGGCTGCATGGAATCTTACCTCCGAGACACTAGTAATCCCACCACTGAGGGCAAACACCCCGAGAAGAACTGGGGACAGACGCAGGCCAGCCAGGGGCCTGTGGGGGCTCACTTGGAAGTAGTGATGGATGAAGTAAAGGCTTTGTGTGATCCGAATGCCCATGTTAAAGCAGTTGGCCAAGATGAAGCCTACACTGCCACACCAGCTGGTCAGGAGGTAGGATAAGACCAAAAATGAGGAAGACAGTGCCAGCATAGTAAAATTGTACCTGGGGAGACAAGCAAAGTGGGGAGGTGAGTATCTTGCCCTAAGACAAGAATATTCCAAAATAAAATAAAAATAAAATAAAATAAAATAAAATAAAATAAAATAAAATAAAAAATGGCCATATCCACTCACAGAAAGCTCTCTGAGTTCACATTATTGCAGATGAGTTCCCACAATACAGTGTTTTTATGTGTGATGTGGGCAGGGATGTTTTTTTTATTATAGTTCTTATGCTAGGTTAAACCCAGTGCCTTATATATGGGAGACAAATTCCTTTGCCTATGGGTGCTTTTTCTTTTCTTTTAGATACTAGGTGTTGCTTTGTAGCCTAGGCTAACTCTGAACATCCTGAATGCTAGAATTATAGACCTAAACTACAATATCTGACTCAGCTCTCGTTTGTTGTTGTTATTATTTGAGACAAAAAGTGTAGCCTAGCAACTCTAACTTGAAAAAAAAAAAAAAAAATATATATATATATATATATATGTATATATCAGGCTGGCTGGCCTTCAGGAATCTCTCAATGTCTAACTAGGTCTGTCTCTCTCTTTCCATTTGACATGCTCAGAATTAAATCCAGCTAAGCTTGCACAGGCTAAGCAAGCATTCTTAGCTGAACAACATCTGCAACCCTCAGGCCTTGAACTCATAATCTTCCTGCCTCAGCCTCCCAAGAGCTAAGGTTGGCTGTGCTGCCCAGCCATAACCTAGATTTTTATAACACTGAATGCTACTTACTTAACATGAAAATGTGACTTTCTCCTGACTCCTAAACAGAATACACACAATTCAAATTATTTATACTTCCTAGGATAACAATTTTTTAGATGATACTTTGTAATCAAAACAAAAATCCTGTTGAGCTGAAGTCTCCAATGAATGTGACCTGGGTAATAACACCAACTCCGCAAAAGGCTGTGGGAAGTGCTAGGGACATTGGCAATCAATCAATATACACAACTCCTATGCTGTGAAGCCTAAGCTTTTCAACAGAGACATGAACAGCACAGTGAGGCTGAGAACCCACCCAAGGACTAAGGTAACTCCATCCTCCCACCAGCCCACTGCTTCAGGACCTCACCCTGCTTTCCTTGGGAAATGATGCTTATGGATAGTGAGCCTTCCTCAAAGCAAGCGAAAGGCCTCCGGAATGAGTTATGTACACTGAGCAAAGCCTAGACACTCCCTGATGTTTCCCAGACACTTGCACAGACTTCCTGGGCTCTCTACATCCGTAGTGCTCTTTGCACTATGGAGCTGAGTGGTTATGCTACTTCTTTCACTTTTCATTTCAAACACCCATCTTCCGTAATCTACAGATTAATTAACTGAGTCTTGGCACCATAAAATTACTGCCATAGTTCTCAAAAAGGCTGTGGTATAGCCATGAACCAAATTCCCCAGCATCCAGATTCTGCCTACTTCACAGCAGGTACTCTACAAATGTACAGTTGCTGAGGGTTAAACCCTGTAGGTCCCTAAGCTGTGTCCACTGAGTTAAGTAACTAAGTAGCCTCTGAGGCCACTACCCAGGCTCTGAACATCAGAGGTAAAAAGAAAGAACACAACTGTCTGTTCAATGAGAATTGTATCTGACTGCACATCAGAAGAAAGCTGCTATGTTCCCAAATGCCTGGGTCTTTAGACTGACCAAGGTTATGGCACTACAAAAACTTGCTTTATCAGAGTGCACAGTAAGAAACACACATATGCGTGCACATGAATGTACACACACAAGGGAGAGCGCATAGAAGGGCCACTCACCTCATCACCCACCCTTTCCATTCTCTCTCCATTATCATTACATCCTTCTCTTCTTACAGTGACATCTTAAGATACTAATATTTTTGGTATTTAGGATATAAAAAGTGGGTGACCTTAGGTATGGACCAAAGGTATTAGGCTATTTCACATCAAAATAATGAAGGAGATTTAAAAATATACACATATGCTCAAAGGGCCTACTGACTGACTATACAGATATGATGGAGAGAGTAGTAAAAGTAGGGCGAACAAGAAACTCTAATTCTGGGCTGGAGAGATGACTCAGAGGTTAAGAGCACTGTCTGCTCTTCCAGAGGTCCTGAGTTCAATTCCCAGCAGCCACATGGCGGCTCACAACCATCTATAATGAGATCTGGTGCCCTCTTCTAGCCTGCAAGCACACATGAAGACAGAACATTATATACATAATAAATAAATAAATCTTTAAAAAATCCACATGGAAAAAAAAAGAAAAAAAGGAACTCTAAGTCTAACTATCTCCACAGATGACTTTGAAGCACAACCAGTGTTAAAACTACTGGTGAAGGTTTCAGGGCACGAGTCCCAATCTGGAGCTAGGAGATAATAAAAACTTGTGTTAAAATACATACCTGACTTTGAGTCTTCTTCTTAGGAAAGATGTCACAGAGTTCTTGGGATTCTTGGAGAACCTGGTTCTCTTAAAGACCATCCAATGCTTTTAACTGCTGAGCAATCTCTCTAGGCCCTAAGAAAAGTAACCAAGTAACCTCTTGGAGTTGAGGCCTGTTCTTAGCGATCTGAAGAGGGATGCAGTACACTGGAAACCAGCTTTTCCGAAGGTTGACTGCACATTTGAATAAATACGACTCTTCCTGAATGATGCCCCCATCCTCCAGTAAAGGAAGCAGAGGACTGGGCTTCTAGTCCCACTGTGGGAATCACTAGATCAACTGGGTCAGGGCAATGTGGTCTTGGAGAGGTACCACACTAGGGATCTAATGTGGCCTCTGGGAAAAGTGTGGATAAATCCATGCTCAGAATGGAAAGAAAAAGATTATCAAGTTACTTCACTTCGGCCAAAGGCCATGGTCCATAGTTAAAAATTTCTTTTTCTTTTTTTAAATGCTCAAGACAAGGGTTGTTCTGTGTGTAATCCTGGCTGTCCTGGAATCACTCTGTACACCAGGCTGGCCTCAAACTCACAGAGATCCACCTGCCTCTGCCTCCCAAGTGCTGGGATTAAAGGCATGTGGCACCATGGCCCAGCAAAGGTGTACTTTCTAGGTTACCCACCTGTCAACCTCCTCTTTACTCATGGCAGCAAATGTGAAACACTCAGTCACCCCGTTGATAGCAAGCAGGAGGACATAGAGACAATAGGCACGCATCAACAAGGGACCTACAAGGAAATGATCCACAGAGATTCCAGAGTCAAAATGGGCTGTAACCATTAGCTCTACCACATGTTCAGAGAACTAGGTCATGGGCCCTGATGGTAGCAATGGGCGAGCACATGCCTACTCCAGGATGCCCAGTATCCCAGGGCACTGAATACAATACTCAGGAAAATCAAAAGGACAGTGAGGAATAAAGGCACAGGTCTCTTGCTAAACACCTAAGCTTATCTGGCCGTCAGCACAGAGGTGACACTTGCTAGTTTGAGCCCTGAAGACATCAGTGGCCCTGTGTATAAAGAAATCTCAACTGAGCAGGTTGAAAACCCCCTTTGGGACTATCCCAGGGCCCAGGACAAGCAGCAAACTCCCAAGACAGAACCTTCACAATTCCCAGTGAGAGCCAAAGCCCCTAGTGGTACTTTTTCCTGAAATAAAGTGATACGGTATTATAACCAGCAATGATTTTTTTTTAAGATTTATTTATTTTTATGTACATTGATGTTTTGCCTGCATGTTGTCTGTGAGAGGGGGCCAGATCCTCTGAAACTAGAGTTACAGACACCCATGAGCTGACATGTGGGTGCTGGGAACTGAATGGGGTCCTCTGAAAGAGCAGCCAATGCTCCCAACCACTGAACCATCTCTCCAGCCCCCAGCAATGAACTTTTAGTTTGTTGAGCAAGGCCAGTGCGATGGCTTAGTAAGAAAGGGTGTTTGCTGCCAAGACTGATGACCTAAATTTGATCCCTGTGACCCACATAATGGAAGAAGAGAACCCACTCCTGCAAGCTGTCCGGACTCCTACACACATGGTAACTGTACGTGTACACACACACACACACACACACACACACACACACACACACACACACAAATAAATAAATGGCATAAATAAACAAACAAACAAATAAATAAATAAATGGTCATTTCTAAAAATTATAGATCAGAGACTAGACCAAGGAATTGATTCCTCTCTTTTCAGAGGCTATTATAAAAAAGAGATGAGCAGGGGCTGGAGAGATGGCTCAGTGGTTAAGAGCACTGTCTTCAGGGGCTGAAGAGATGGCTCAGTGGTTAAGAGCACTGTCTGCTCTTCCAAAGGTCATGAGTTCAATTCCCAGCAACCACATGGTGGCTCACAACCATCTATAATGTGAACTGATTTCTTCTTCTGGCAGATGTAAATGCAGATAGAACACTCATATACATAAAAAATAAATATTTCTAAAAAAAAAAAAAAGAGATATGAGCAAAGTAATCTTGCCAATTAACAAGTAGTTTCTTTTTCTTTCTTTCTTTTTGTTGCTGTCATTTTGTTTTAGGGGGACAGAGTCTCATGTAGCCATGGATGTAGTCAAAGATGATCTTTCTGCCTCTACCTCCTGGGTATTAGAATTTCAAGCATGCAACACCATGCTCCCTAAATGAGCAATTTCTAATTAAACAAATGCCTGTTCAAACTATGACCCAGCAATTACATCCTAGGATCCATCCAACAGAAATGCGCATAGTTGAGTTCCAAGCTAGTCAAGGATACAACGTAATATCGTGTCTAAAAACAAACACACAAACAAGCAAACAAAAAAAGAAAAGAAAAACCGAATCCATGTATGAACAAATGTCAAAACCTTTAGACCAAAAAGACACAAAAGTATACATGCTGTATAATTTCACTGACCTGAAATTTTATTTATTTGTTTTAGACAAGGTTTCTATGTATCCGTGGCTGTCCTGGAAATTGCCTTGAACTCAGAGATGGTCTGCCTCTGCCTCCAGCATCCATCTCTCTCTCTCTCACACACACACACACACACACACACACACACACACACACACACACACACGTGCAAACACACACATACAAACAAAAAAAAAAACAAAAACCAAAATTAACAAAACTTGGGCTGAGAGTGGTAAGAGTGTTTGCTTAATACCTGCAGAGCCCCGAATTCAATTCCTAAATAAACCAATATGTGCACGTATAAACAAATAAATAAAGTGATAAGGCCAAACAATGAAGACGCGACACTCTTTTCTGCTTAATTAAAGAATCCTTTCTAGGAAAAGCCGAATTTTGTGAAATACTTAAGTGATAAGGAAAAATTGTTAGAATGGGCTGGGAAGAGAGTGGTATGAATGCTTCTTGGCACAAGAAACTCCTCTGGACAAGTTGGAGCAAGGAGAGGATGGTGCCAGGGCTGGAGAGATGGCTCAGTGTATAAAGCACTGACTGCTCCTCTAGAGTACCCGAGGACTCGATTCCCAGCACCCACATGGCAGCTCACAACGACTGCAACACTCTCACACAGACATACATGCAGGCAAAACATCACTGCCCAGAAAGTAAAAATAAATAAATAGTTTTTTAAAAAAGAGAGAGAGAATGGTATCAGAGGGAAACCCAGCAGGCAATGTGTGCACGGGGCTGACGCTACCCAGAGAGTGCTGGGTTTGGTGCAGTGGAGCTGGGTCAAAAGTAGAAGGCAATGAGCCGGCTGTGGTGGCACATGCCTTTAATCCCAGCATTTGGGAGGCAGAGGCAACAAAATAATGGCAGCTAATTTATATCTCTATGATTAATTACTCAACCAGATGAGCATGATAATGGCTGGACAGCCCCTCTTAGGCAACATCTTGTGGTTGTGTTAAAGCAGACTCTGTCTCTTGGAGACTGCTTTCAAAGGGGAAAGAGCTGGTATGAAACAGTTAGCTCCCCAGTCTCTGCATATAAACTTCCTAATGAGGCCTCCAGCAGTTGCCTGATGGAAATGTACTGCTTACAGCACATTCCCCAGGAAGGCACAAATCATACCATAGGCTTCATAGTAAGTGTTTCTTCAAATTCAACCACCTTTGCTATGGTGTAGGAACATGGTCCCTTTCTGCCAGTACCAAATGGGCCCCACTGTAGCAACTGAAACACGGAAGTGTAAAACTCCTGACAGAGCCCTTTATAGTGAGATGGGGTAGCAGAGAATTATCCAGGTTCTTGTCTAGTGAGCTGAGAAAGTGAAGACATCTCTGCTCATTGCAGGATAGAAACTGCAAATGGATGGTCAGTCGAGAGCCCAACACATTTTGAAATGGGTGAAACACCCAAGGACTACCAGGTGCAGTGAGAGTCTTGGCAGCCTGGGTACCAGGTGTTTCAGTGATAGATACAGCCCATGCTTTCCTCCTCCCAAACCAAGAGCCAGTAGATTAAAATATGCATTTTTATACTGGGCAAAGGGCCCTGGATTATCTTTCCATGGCTTTTACTTATCACACACTGAGATTTACAAGAGACTCAAAGCCTGCTCTCTGTTTTCCTCCTCACTTAGAGGAAACACAGGTAAGCACCTGGCAAAATACATCTTAGGGTAAGAGGAAAGCCAACAGCAAGGACTCATCACGTCTTCAAGTGAGCATGAACAGACCGCCCTGGTGTGAGCCCTGGCTGCGTACTGACTGTACAGTCTGAGTGAGTGAATAGCCCAAGGGCACAGCTATTCAGAAATTCTCCCCACAGTGGCACAGAGGTCAACCATGGGTGTATATGGCCTGAATTTCACGAGCCACTTCTATTTTTCTTTAGAAATCAGAACAAACCCCTTCCAAAGTCTAGCACATACCGGATCCTGAACTAAGCATGGCTCCTCCATAGATGTCCAGAGCCAGCTGAGAATAGGCAAAGCCAAAAATAGTGATGGTCAGGCCAGTCAGCAAGGCCAGCTTGAGGAGGGACTCCAAAACCGCAGCAGCCATGGCAACATCCTCCTGGGCCAGGGGAAAGGGAAGGAAGTCAGCTGAATCTGAGCTGAAGAGCACCTCATGCAGGCCTGCTTCCCAAACCACACTGTTTGACAGCCTGCTGTTCCAGCAAGGGCAAGCAAAAGAAGAAGTAAGTCGAGTCTCCTTAGGTGGCGGGTGGGTGGATGTGTGTGTATGTGTATGTGTGTGTGTGTGTGTGTGTGTGTGTGTGTGTGTGTGTGTGTGTGTCTGTTTTCAACTCATTTGAGATAATTTCCAGTGATGCTGAAGAAAATGCCAGATCTGTCCTACTTCTGACTGATGTCACTGTCAATGTACACGTAGGAAAAAATGTTCCTAAGTCAAACTGAGAACCAGATCTTACTTTCAGATATTGAACATAAATAGCAGCTTGTAAGTATCTTCTAAGACATGTAAGCAGTAGGCCTAGATTGTTTTTCATTGCAAAATAAGTCAGAGGGGGTAATGGGGAAGGCTCCTCAGATAAGAGTGTTTGCTCTGCAAGCATGAGGGCCTGAGGACCTAAGTTCAAATCCTCAGCACCTGTGTTACAAACATTTTTTTAAAAATAAGCCAGGCATGGCTTCATGTGCCTGCAGCACATAAGGAATAGGAGATGGGCAGATCCCAAGAGCTTGCTAGCCAGCCAGCTTAGTAAAAATGGCGGTTTCTGGTTCAGTAAGAGACCGGTCTCAAGGCAGAAGGCAAAGAAAATACAGAAGACACCTGACGCCTTGTTCTGGTCTCCACATGTGCACTCATAGGGTTAAAAATCTTCTAAAAGTCAGTCAGGATTTTCAGTGGTCATAGGGCTGAGATCTAGTTCAGCTAGGAGAGTGCCTGCCTAGCATGCATAAGGCCCTGAGGTTGATCCCACACACTGCATAAGCTGCTTGTGGGGACACACATCTGAAACCCCAACACATGGAAACTGAAGCAGGAGGCTCAGATCAAAGCCATCCTTGGCAACACAAGACCGTCTCAGAAAAAAACAAACAAAACAAAACCCCAAGAATTAATTCATTAAGCCAAGAGTAAGGTCACACAGGAGGACAAAGGGATGAGACACAAAGGACAGGCAGGAGGAAAGGAAAGGTAGGCTCTGGGTCCTGCTGACAGTAAGAACGTGGCAGAAGGAGGAGCCGGTGTGATGGCACATGCCTTTAACGCCACTGCTTAGTAAGTGGAGGCAGGAGAATCAAGAATTCCAAGGTTTAACCTTGGCTACAAAGGGAATTCAAAGCACCGAGGGATACAAGAGCCTTATCCAAAAAAAAAAAAAAAAAGACAAGAGGGAAATGTAGAAGGAAGCATCAGATCAAACTGAAGGAAAAGGACCACCCCACATCTCTTTCCATTCACCTGAGAGATGACATGAGAACCAACCTTACCTGCTTCTGAAGTGTGGCATCCTTTTCCCTCTCTAGCACCTTAGCAAAGAAAATATAAAAACTCTCCTCTATTGGCTGGAAAATTAGCCTGGCCACAAGGGACCCAAGATTATTCACTATGTCATATACACCTGCAAAGCAGAAAGGGAGAAACAATGATCACATCAGTTCTTAATTTTCACAGCACTATATGAAAATTCTTTTTCCAATTTAACATTTAATTTTTTTAACCTTTTTTTTCTTTTGGCTATAGGGTCTCATGTAGGCCAGGCTGGCCTGGAACTCTCCACGTAGTCAAGAAAGACTTAAACTTCTGACCCCCTCTCCACCTCCCAGATGCTGGAGTTGCAGGTGTGCACCACATACCCATTTTCTGTGCGGCTGGGCATTGAGCTCAGCTTCATGTACACACCAGGAACACTATAACCAAGCTGCTGCCCCAGCCAGAGCTCGTAAATCTTGAGATAAGTTATAGATTCACACTGTCATTGAAGAAATGGTAGATCTATGTACCAAACAGTAACGTCTTGCAAAACTTGTACCATATTCAAGCACGATCCTGCCATTAATATAGTCAAGACAGAGGTCTTCTGTCATTAGTCTTTTAAAAATGTCGTCAATGTGAAACTGATTCTTATCAGTTTGATGTGATGCTTCCTTCTAGATTTCCGCCTCTTTTTTCTCTTTTGCTACTTTTATTTCCCTGACTCTGGTATCACATTGAAAAATAAAAAGAAAACAAACCCTAAAAGACTTATCCAAGCACACTGACTGGGAGCAGATCTTTGTGACCTGATGATGAGCTATTGTCTCTTCTCTTCTAGAGCCCCACCTCTCAAAATGGGTACCAGAGATCTGTAGAAAGCTAGAGAGTGAGATTCCCAACAAGACTGACACTAAACTCACATGACAGGGTATCATCAAAGTCCTAGTATTTATTAATGGTATCCATCTTTAATTAAAACACTACAGACTTACATCTTACCCTGATCGCCAAAGTTCAATACATTCAAAAATGTCATCACATACCGCTCGCCTATAAAAGAAAAGCAAAGTAATTAGCATTTCAAATGCAACATTCATTTCTTCTTTCCTTTTCTCTATGACATATGTTTGTTTCCAATGGGGTGCCGGGGTTATAGGTGTGTGCCACCATGTCCAGGTCCAGTTGACAAGTGCTCTCAGAGAAACATCAGATAACCAATTAAAGATCAGTTCAGTGTCCTAACACTGATTTCACACCATCTCACAACAACAGTTTAGAAAGCGCTGAGGTCTTTATTGACAAAATCTTGAAGACACATTAAGAACAGGAAAAAAAATATTTCAAAAACAGCCTATTAACAATAAAATATGGGGAGATTGCTCAAATGTTAATAGCGAAAATGACTTCCAAGTCTTAAGGGAAGCCTCCCTCTCTCTCTGAGACAGGATTTCTCTGTATAGTCCCGGCTGTCCTGGGAGATCAGGCTGCTCTCAAGCTCAGAGATCCACTTGCCTCTACCTGGGATTAAAGGCAAGCGCCACCATGCCTGCCTTGAATTTTCTTTTCCACAAATGAAACACCCTGGCCATGACAAGACAGCCACAGTCCCACAGAACACTTCTCATCAACTGGCAACTCCAAAAGAAAAGCATTACAAGGCCAGGTTCCCTCTTCTCTCAAGACTCCTTTCTGATCTGTCTCCCTGTAAAGACAACTGTGTGCAGCAGGGACCCCTGTGAGTCCTGTCAGGTTTCTATCTCTGTGCTTCTCTGACTTTCCCTAAGTTCAAACAGTTCTAGCTTTATGTAAACACAGTCAGCCTCTGTATCTGAGGGTTTGTGATTCTAATGACTCATCTAACTGTAAACAAAAAACATTCCAAAAAATGCACCTGAAATGAACATGACTGAACATGTACAGCTTTACTATTATTATTATTCCCCAAATAATATAGTATAACGTAGCTTTATATAGCATTTGCATTGCACTAGGTACACTAAAGCATAAAGAAGGGCACATTTAAGTTATATGCAAAAAATACACATTTTATACACAGGTCTTGAGTGTCCTTAGTTTTTAGTACATCTGAGATTGGCCAGTAACCAAAACCTGATACCAAGAGACAACTATATAGTCCCCTATTAATCCCTGAGTTCACACCTTCAAATAGCTCATTAGTATTTGCCAAAAGTCCAGGCTCCTATATTCTAAATCTGAGAGGCTTCTTCTTCCTTTCTTTTTTCTTTCTTTTTTTTTTTTTTTTTTTTTTGTTGTTGTTGTTTCGAGACAGGGTTTCTCTGTGTGGCCTTGGTTATCCTAGAATTGCTTGTAGACTAGGCTGGCCTCTAGGTCACAAAGATCTACCTGCCTCTGCTTCCCAGAGTGCTGGGATTACAGGTGTGTGGCACTGTACCGGGCTTTTGAAGCTTCTTATATGCTAACTCCCACCTATCTTTTGGGCTTAACTTTCTCCAGCTTCACCCCCTTCACACTGTCATCTGGAGTTATCCCTGCCTTCCTGCATTTTGCCCTTCTGTAGTTCTGGTTCAGTCTGTACCTGTTCAGGCCTCTCCCTGTTTTCTGGCAGGACATGGCTCTCCTTCACATTCTACAAGCTCCCTTGGGGCAAGAGACCCTTTTCAGACATCCATATCTCCTTTCCTCTTTGGTGTCCTACCAGAGCTCTAGGAGATGAGGGGACCTCAAGGAGCTTGTGCTTACTAAGTTATATCTCCAGGCACAGCCCCACAACACGCTGAGCACCTCCCATCAGAATGAGAGAAGGAGCTTCTTGAAGCCTGTTATTTCTCCGTCTTTGTTCTTAGCACCCGACATTGTGTCCAGAAAACTTGAGGGCAGAGTGAAGATACATTCTCACTGCCACACACAAGAAAGACAGTTCTTAAAGGGTTGAAACATAGAAAAAGTTAGGATAGGATAATGAGATTATATGTTTTTCTTTAATTTGTTTCCTATCATTGATATAACACTTTTATAATAGATTTATTAAATGATTTAATATGGACTTTTCCAATTAGGTTTTGCTGCAGTTTGAGTGCTGAAGTGTTCCTCCAAGTCCCACATGTTTAAACTTTAAACCCAGTCCATGGTGCTACTGGAACCCTCAAGAAATAGGCTGGGAGGGAGAAAGGTAGGTCCCTGGAGCATACCATTGAAAGGTACATTTAAAGTCTGTCCCTTCATGTCTGTTTCCTAACTGTCTCCTCTGCCATACACTAGCACCACGATATACAGCCTTACCTTGGGCCCAAGCAACAAGTCTCAGTAGCCGTGAGCTAAAACTGTGGGCCACAGTAAGCCTTTCTTCCTTTTAGGTTGATCATCTCAGGGACCCTGCCACAGTAACAGAAAGCTGACTAACTAAGACTTAGATTCCTCATCCCTAAACAGAGGAAGATAAAATCTTTTGTAAAGCCATGGAGAGATTTAAAGAAGACAACTTAAGTAAAATATAAAGTTAAATAGCTATTGGTTCCCTGTCTTTATTTAAAACAAAATGAAGCAAGCATATTTCTAAGGATCCTCCGCCAAGGGGCCCCAGACAAGTGCTCTGGAGTCAGCCATCCTGTGACATCCTTTGCTTCTTCTATGAGCTTCCGGCTGCTCATCATGACCTTTTACTTTACTCACCTTCTGTCAAAATCTGTTTCAAGAAAGACTGTTTGAAAAAACTCCAAGTCAATTTAGCCTCTTTCCAATTGACAAATGCCTAAAAGAAAAACAAAACATAAAACAGAATTTCCAGCACTTCAAATCTAAGTACTACCTGAGAGCCTATAAGGCCCAACCAGACTAGTTCACACTGAATCTTTAATCAGTATTAAGAACACAGAAGATATCCAAAAAGCAGCAGAAAACAATTTATATGGCAGCTATAACTTGAATCTTGAATGGTTCTGAAGGCCATGAATTAAAAACCTGGTCCTCAGGGGGATCAGACCTGAAGGTGGCAGAGCCTTTCAGTGGTGCCCAGTGAGAAGGGCTTGGGCCACTAAGGGTATGCTCTGGAGGGTACCATGGGACGCCAGTCCCTTCTCTCCTTTCCCTTCCCAGATAGGAGGGAGACTGTTTAAGCTCAGCCATGTACTTCTGCCACATGTGCTGCCTTGACATGAGCCCAAAGCACCAGGATCATGGATGGAAATTGGATGGGCATTTTGTAATCTCAGTACTCACAAGGTTGAAGCAAAAATATTCTGAGTTCAAGGCCAACCTGAGCTATAAAGGGAATTCTAGGCCCTATTTCAAAACAAACAAACCTCAAACAAACAAACAATTAGAAGTTTGGGCTCCTGTAATCCCAGCACTCGGGAGGCAGAATGGAGGTCTGACCTCTTTCAAGACCATTCTAGGCTACAGTGAGTCTGAGGCCTGCTGAACTAGAGTAAGACCTTGCCTCTAAACAAAACTAAAACTACACCAACCTTTCATTACTATTTATTCCAGGTATTTATTATAATAACAGAAAGCTGACTTCCAAAATTGGAAGGCAAAGTTTTGGATATTCCTAAATCATCCACAAAGAACCCTAAAGGATCGTTGCTATCCCTTTGGACACTACTGAGGCCCAGACGGTACACTGACCACATCTAAAGCACAGTTCATATTCAGTTTTATATATATATATATATACATATATATATGTATATATATGTATGTATATATATATATGCATATGAAGCTAAAGAACAAACTCCACTCCTTGTAATCCTTACATTAGTGCTATGTTCAGCCACTTAGGGCCCTTGACACAGGAGTGCTCACATGTTCCAAAAGAAACTCAACCTTCCCAGGTTAGGTAACCTACTCAGAACTGGTTTGACAAAGGAAACAACAGACTGAAACAATAACAGCAACAACAGAACTCTAACTTTACCTATGGGTTTTCTGAAACCTTCAGGAGCCTCAACTGCTACCTCATAAGGACAAGGAAGGTCAGAAGAAAACACTCAAACAGGGCAGAGAAACTCACAAAACGGGTGGCCACGAAGCCAGAAACTGACTACAAAGTGGACGATGGGCAACTACTTCCCTCAGTTCCCAGTGGGGACTCACTGTCACACAGGCATCCTAGATTCTCAGAGGTTAAGGCTAGAACGATGCTACTCCACAGAAATATAACGCTAAGTTTTCTGCAGCCACAGAAAACAGGAAAAAGAAACAAGTAGAATCATTTTGCTTTGTTTTTCACATTATCTAGCTACATAGCAAGATAATCTTAAGTTTACGAGGTGGATCAGTTATTTTTCTCAGTGCTATATCAAAATACTTTCAAGAGCCACTTAAAGAAGGCAGGCTTTTTTGGCTCCCAGGTCCAGGGCACAGCCCATCGTGGAGGGGAAGGGAGGGACGGGGTGAGAGGCAGCTGCTTACACTGTATCACGGTCAAGAGGCAGGAAACAAGGAATCCCTAGCTCAGCTCCTCTCTCCTTTTCATTGAGTCCAAATGCCAACTCCCGGATGGTTCTGCACACACAGAGGGTGGGCCTCCCACCCCAATTCACCTACCCTACAAACTTCTTCACAGCCATGCCCAAAGGTTCCTTTTCTATATAATTCTGGTTCCTGTTGGGTTGAAAATCAGTATTGGCTATTACATTATGTAACCCAGGCTGGCCTTATTTATGATCCTCCTGCCTCAGCTTCCTGAGTGCTACAGAGATTACATATAATCAACATCATACCTAGCTCATTAAAACAAAAGAAAACGTGTGTGGGTATGCACATAATATGTGTAGGTGGGCATGCATGCCATAGTGCACCTGTGGTAGGCAGGGGACACTTTTTCTCCTACATTTCCATAGATTCCAGGGTTTGAAGTCAGGTTACCAAGTTTGTTTGAGAAGAGCAACTTTATCAACTGAGCTATCTCATTGGCTAAATGTGACTTTGGACTCTCTGTTCTCTTGCCTCCACTTCCCAAGCGCTAGGATCACAGTCCCACACCACCATACCTGGTTTATGTGATGCTGGAGGTTAAGCAAAAACTCTAACAAATGAGCTAGACCCATTTCTTTAAAGGTAGGGTCTTAGGTGGCCCATGTAGCCTTGAACTCAATATGAAGCCAAATTGAGATGACACTAAACCCCTGATCCTCCTGCACCCACTTACCAAGTGCAGGGACTACAGTCACACCATCCCATCCTGCTTCCCAGTTTTAATATACCTAAACTCAAAATAGTACTCTTTTGCCATGTGCTGAATATAAAGAAACACAGTAACACCTCACATTGTTTTCACTCTAACCTTTATATTGCAGGATGTGTTCTAAACTTACTGTCCCCTCAGTGCACACTATTGCAAACTACCCTACAGTCACCTGTAGCTCAGGCTAGATGACCGATTTAGACAGGGCAATCCTAGAATACCTCTGAGAAAGTAGGGCTCCTTTCAGCCCTGATTCTTCTCCCCTTTTCCTTTAGGCAAGAAGAGCACAGGCCTGAGTCCTCCCAAACTGTGCTGCCCTGAGGGTATTAATGAACTCTGAGCAGATGCCAAGGTGTCTCTAGTCCTGAAGGCCTTTCCCAGGCAGAAGGAATTGAGCCTCAAGATGTTTAACACTGTCCAACCATCTCTTTTCTTCAGAACAAAAGCTGCTAGACAACACCAGAAGAGGGCACTGTGGACCACTAACTCTCAGACAGAGTCTGCTCATGGTCAGCTCTGAGGAAGCAAGGGCACACATCTCTCACACTGCCCCTGTCCTGGCACAACAGTATTTCTCTGAGGGGTCTGTGCTGTCTGTGCTTTGAAAAAAGCTGTGCTTTTTTCAAAGGAAATGAAAGGCTGAAGCTTGAGCAACAGAGATCTTGCGTCGTGTGTGTGTGTGTGTGTGTGTGTGTGTGTGTGTGTGTGTGTGTGTCTAGGCTGGCCTCAAAAACTTGCAGCCATCCTCCCTCCTCACCCTCTCAAATGCTAGGATTGGAGGTATGTGTCACTATGCCAGACCTCATGATGCTCTTGTTGAAGCCTGCTTGCCAGTAAGCAGTAAGTGTGTTTGAGCAAATGATCTAGTTTTCGAAAGAGAAAGTCCTTGGCAGAGTAATCCCCTGGGAATGGAAGAATGTGCTTGTGCTCAGGGACATCTTTCTTCTAATGCCTTCAGTGCAGATGGGCTGTGATCAGAAGGAGTGGCCACACTGCTTACTACAGCTGAAGTGTTCATTAAGGACACACTGGCAGGAAGTCCACTCTGAGGCTTGGTTTCCCCGGCCACTTAGTAGTAGGAAAGAGGGTACTTGTACCTTTCTCTTCAGAACAGATCTTCACTTGGGATGGTGAAGGAGACTATTTGACACAGCTGGGTTGGTACTATCGCGCTCTGGTCTGAGACAGGCATGAACTTCCCTAATTCTCCTAAGCAGATATTCTACAGCCCAGTTGTGTTCATAGACACACTGAGGCTTGGAAGGCGAAAGGTGATGGGTAGTAGCTGCATGAAAGGCCTAGGACCAGAATCAGGCTCATCCTGCTGAGTCATTCTTCCCTTTCCAAACTCTTCAGGCTCAGGATGACCAGCTATGTCCCTCCCACACTCATAAGCCACTGGGAGGCCAGAGGCCCATCGCCTCCATCACCTCATTCGCACTCTCCTTTCCCCTTTCTCTTCCTATCCCAGTTCTTAGAGGCCATTGACTGCCCTAGACTTGCCCTGCCTCCCACTTTTATCTATCTCATGACTGTCCCTGTCATTTCCTATCTGGAATATTGCCATAGCCTCCCACTGAGGCTAAAACTTTTGCTCTAGCCTACCGTCTTCACTGTAGGTTTAGGCTTTGGCATCAAGCTTAGTGCTTAGGATTTAAATTGCTTCTTGACTTAGCCCAAAGGCCTTGGGCAAAATAGTTAACTTTGTTAGGCCTTGGTTTTGTCATCTACAAAATGAGATAAGTTCTACCTTATCTCTTATTAAGATTAGCTAGGCATGGAGGCACACACCTGTGATAACAACATCCCAGTTCTGAGGGAGGACGCACTAAGAGCTTATGGCCGGCTATATAGTGAGACCCTATCACAAAAAGAGAGAAAAAGTCCTATTTGATGGAACCCATAGAGGACTGAATGAGAGAAAAACAAGATGCTATGAAGCTCCTCCACCTAGCACCACCAAGAAACCTTTCAGACGGGTGTGACAGCCTGTGCCTGTAACCCAGCACTCAAGAAGTAGGGACAAGAGACTCACAAGTTCAAGGGCACCCTCAGCTGCACAGTTAGAGGCGAGCCTGGGTTACAACAGACCCTGCTTCAAAAAAAAAAAAAAGATTCTGTGAGAAGACCATTGTCTTCACATATACCCAATGCTGAGCCCTCCTGGTTACAACTGATAGCTCCAGACCCATGGCCACACAGAAGGCCTTGGCTAAACTCAGCGGGTCACAAGATGAAATGAAAAGCTGCAAGTTCACCACAGCAAGCATGTCTTCAGTGTGAGGCCGTGCTGTATGTGTGGTGGAGAGCTCCAAAATATGCTCAGCCAACCCCACTGTGAGACTGTGTGCATTTAGTGTTCTCGGAACAGAAGCTCAGGTGGACAGAGAATTCCATCTGGGAGCATTCAGGGTTGAGATTGAGAACATGGCCGTTTCAGTCATGAAATGAAAAAGAGGTTTGTAGGAAATGGCAGGATAGACGGGGTAGTGGGAGGCTGGAAGAGAGTAAGCCTGGTCAGTAAAGTATTGTATGTGTAGAAAATTGTTGAATAAAATTAATTTTAAAAAGAAAACCTTTAGTAAGCTCCACTTCCCCCAAACAAAGCTCAACCTGTACTCTACTGAAGTTATTGGTACTTGCTGCCAGCCCAGCACGCCATGTTCACCTCTCCTCAGAATCTCTAGCCACCCTCTACTTCTTTCACTCTCCCTGTTTGGTCCACTCAAGCACTCCAATTATCCCCACATTCTCAATCCCAACCCAATGAGGGCACAGGACAGGCTTGAGCATATCTTTTCCCCTCACCCCATGGTCCTAAACATTACCACACATATCTGCCCACCCATGTTAAGTTCTGGCTCAAAAGCAGCTTCCTCCAGGAAGCCTTCCTGAATGCTCCCACACAGAATTCTCCATCCACCCTGAGCTTCTGCTCTGAGGACACTAAATGCATACAATCTTGCAGTGGGGTTGGCTGAGTGTGTATCGGAGCTCTCTACCACAGCACACTCAACATGGCCTCAGGCTGCAGACAGCCTTTTCAGGTTATTCAGACATGCCAAAGAATATGAAAAGTGGTGATCATAGTTGGGTGTGATGGCGTGCGCCTTTTATCCCAGCACTCAGGGAGGCAGAGGCAGGCAGATCGCTGTGAGTTCCAGGCCAGCCTGATCTACAAAGTGAGTCCAGGACAGCTAAGGCTACACAGAGAAACCCTGTCTTGGAAAAAAAGAAAAAGAAAAGAAAAAAGGAAAAAAAAGTGGTGATCATCATTTGAGGTACCTTTAGCTTATTCTATATCTAAATGAATACCTATAAAGAAACTGGCATTCTAGAAGACTAGGAAAGGAAACCTCAGAGTTTGGTTCAGTTGATTTTGCATGTAATTATAAGAATAGTGTTACCCAGAAGCCTGGTGCAGAAAGCTGTTCCAAGGAGGCATGCAGGCATACCGCTCGTGGGAGAGTTGAATGCAGACTTTTCTCTTCTTGTTATTTGTTTTGTTGATGCTTTTGAGAAAGGGACTCATGATGCAGACCAGGCTGGCTTTGAGCTTACAGAGATCCACCTGCCTCCCAAGTCTCAGGATTAAAAGCACACACCACTATATCTAAGGCTCCTTCCTCTCTTTGCCCCTTTAAAAATAATAAGCCTGAGTAGTTTTTCTACCTGGAACTTCCCAATCTTTAGGTAAATAAAAAACTAACATGGGCAATCAGCCCAATTCTTTTGGAAGACTGGCTAACCACACAGACAAAAGCTGGTCCACAGGAAGCAATTATAAGGAAGTGGACCCAAAATAAGCTATCTGGAGTCATTGAACTCCTCTGGACACCAGGCCTCTCATCTGTAAAATGGGGACAACAGCATTAACTCGCAGAAGATGAAGGCTTGAGAAGAGGAAGCACAAAAACCCCTGTTAGTCTACAGTAACTGCTCTTTCCTTCCCTCCCCTCCTCTCTCTCGCATCCTTTTTTTTTTTTTTTGGCACTCCCTGGGACTGAACCCAGAGCCTTACAAATACTAGACTATATTCTCAGCCTTTTTCCTCTTTTTAAACTTTGAGACGGTCTCACTGAGCTGCCTGGGCTGTCCCAAACAGCTATATAGCCTAGGCATTCCTTGAATCTCACTCCTTCTCCTCAGCTCCTTGCATAGCCAGGATTACAGGCCTATGCTATCATGCTCATCATAAATAGCTCTTTTCAGTGTTCAAATAGCTTCACAGAGCTCCTGAAGTTTTCAAATAAGCCAAGAGTTTCACATTAAAAATAAAGACTTTGTGGTCGAATGTCTGGTCCCAAGAACATTTGAGGCCAAGAGTTCAGCATGAGTCCAACCAAAAGAACAAGACTCCTCTCAAAAAACCAAAACCATCCAACCAAACAACCAAACAAAGCCCCCAAACCAACCAAACAAAAGACCAGAGTTCACAGGCTTCAGATCCATCCTGTTGCCTCCCAAACCTACAGAAAACTTTCTGAGGCCTAGAAATGTCTGCTCCTGGCTATCTGTCCTGAATCACCCCAAGCATGGAGACAAACATTTCAGGATTGCGGCATCTGTCCCAATACTACAGGTGGAAGAGAAACTCTTCTAATCTGGAGTCCATTTCTACCCACAGATGAGACACAATAGTAGCCAAAATCATCCCTGATTAAGGTCCTGAGAGCCAAGGGAACACTCCTTGCCAACAACTGAGAATGCACCTGGCTCCGACACACAATATCTGGACCTTCTTAAAAAGCTGTGTAACAGGGCTGGAGAGATAGATGGCTTGCTCTTCCAAAGGTCCTGAGTTCAGTTCCCAGCAGCCACATGGCAGCTCACAACCATCCATAATATGATCTGGTGCCCTTTTCTGGTGTGCAGGCGTATGTACAGGCAGAACATTGTATACATTTTTAAAACAAAACAAAACAAAAAACAAACAAACAAACAAAAAAAAACAGGATTCCATACATGAAATGCTGAGACACTATCCCCACATAATTTGGCAACCTTCTGGAAGTCCACTGGATACCTTTCTACTAAAAACCAACAAACAATGCTGAGAAAAAGGCATGTGCTTGACAAGGAGCAATGGAGAGTATCTGAGCAAAGGCTGTGTGGTGTAATTGTGCCTTGAGATACTCTGGCTGCAGGATAGCCAGCAGCCGGTGACCCTGTAAGAGCTCAGAAATGCAAGGCAAGAAGCTTGAGAGTGAAAGTGTTGAGTAGAGCAAGGCTATGCTTCATTCCCATGTGAAACGCTGGCCTCACACCAAGATTTAAAAAATAACAACAAACAAAAACAAGAAACTATGAGCCAGACATATCTTTCCTATTTTTCATACCAACACTTAGGAGGCTGAGGCAGGAGGATTGATAGCTTGAGGCTAGTATGGGATAAATAGCAAGACTTTGTCTCAAAAAGGTTAAAAAAGGACAACAAAAATCTAACCATTGGGAATTATCCCTGAATTCTCAGATTTCTGGACTGTCTCTGCCAGAGGTCAATCCAAGAAAGAGACTGAGGAAAAGACAGACAGAGTAAAACGTGGGTACTCGATCCCCTGTGGGCTCCTACCTTTGCTCCACCCTCATCTTGGACAGGTACTTATTTGCTCAGCCTTAGCTTCTCAACCGCAATATACTAAGAATGAAAATGTTAGCCTTTCGGGGTTATAAGCACTGGATGAGGTACATGAAGCATTTATAGGGCCCAGCATGGTTTTTCTCTGCTGGAAGTAGTTTGGCTTCTGGGGAACTGTAGCAATGTCGGGAGATGTAGCAATGTAGCTAAGTGCTACATTGGTTGGGGGAAGTCCTCCTCAAATCATAAGGCTAGGGATGCCAAACATCCTACAGTGCATAAAACAGTCCCTACAAGGAAGCGTGTCTTACCCAAAAGTCACTAGCACTAAGATCTGGAAATCCTGACTTAGTATGAGGCAAGCACTCAATAAATACAATCTGTAAAACTATCTTTCCTATATAACAACAAGCCAGTTGCAGTTTCTTTACCTCAAGGATAACCATCATCGGTGAATAAAATAAGAGGCAAAATGCATTACTCACTCTGCTTCTTGAAATACTGGGTAGCAGTTGTGCTATTTTGGAGACAGGAAGAGTCAGTTGTTTGGTTGACTCTGGGGAATGCAGTAACTTTATTAAATAAATCACATAGCAGAGCACCAGAACAGCAGTATAGAAAAGCTGAAACAAGAAAATAAAGGGTTGAAATTAAATTGTTTTGATACAAGCATAATTATAATAGGACTATGAATATTATCTTCAAGGTCAATCAAGAAATAGAACTGTGTTAATTAACTGCACTTTCCAAAGAGCAGCACCTACCCACTCAGACCTAGCTCCACCGCAGCACCCCTGTGCAGAGGCTCCACACTCCCCTTGTTGAAGAACACAACTACCATGGCAGATGGCCACTGGCTCAAATGGCAGATTGTCAGGTACCTGCCCAGCAAACTGACTCCAGGAGTCCGGACTGCATTGACTGCCATTATTCAGGACTAGGTTTTCCATCAACTGTAGAACCTGTGCCATTTGTGATTACAAAGCAGAATGGAGCTACTGGCTCTCTCCTCCCCACCCAGGGAATTGGCAGGGTGACAGCTGCTACAAGCTGCAAGAGGAAAAGGTGGGGTTGCAAGAAGGTCTACCTTACCCTCCTCCAAGCGGGACATCTAGTCAGAAGTAGTCATGTAGCTTTTGTGTGAAGGTTGGAAATGAGTATCCAAAAGGGACCCTTGCCACAGCCTCCCTCTGAAACAGCAGCATATTGAGACCTCCAAATCCATCCTTCCTTCTTTCCGTCCTTCCCTTCCCTTGCCCTTCCTTCCTCCCTTCCCTTGCCCTTCCTTCCTCCCTTCCCTTGCCCTTCCTTCCTTCCTTCCTTCCTTCCTTCCTTCCTTCCTTCCTTCCTTCCT